GAGCGTAAAGAAACCTGCTCGAGCATGAAAAACATGCTTGCAGAAGTTTCGCAGAGCACCAAAACATTGGGAGTGTGCAATCTCCGCTCGAGCGCAAGAAGACCCGCTCGAGCGGATCTCCTAAAAACTGGGCAACAAGTAATTGAAACCAAAGTCTAACCAACCTGTAACAACTCTGCCCAATACATCCTAAAACTCAATCAAGCGGAATTAAAGGATGACAACAAGGTATACAACCACCAACATCACGGAACCAAAGTTCGGAAAACAACAGATACAAAAAGGGAAAACCGGGATCGCTATATATCTGCTGTCTTTGATATATGTTGTATTTTGTTGCTGTTTGCTATCTTTGTGTATCTGTTGCAGTTTTGTAAGCTCTGTTGCAGTTTGTATCTGTTGATCTCTCACTAGCAAGTGCTTGGATTGATGCTGCCATGTGATTGTGCGAGTCGCTTAATGCCAACGTAGTTGGGATTGGGTTGTCTCGTTATGATGGCTTTTGCATTATTCCCCCCCCTTGTTGATGTTTTTTCCTTACGTGTAAAGTTATCTATCATCAATAAAGTTTTCTTCGTTGTTGACAAAAAAAAAAATAATTTTTGCACATCAAGTAGAGTAATTTTTTATTTTTATTTCCTAATTATACATTTGTCATAAAATCTAAAATGCATTTATTACAAAATTAATAAATATTTCATATTTCATACATCAATCTTTACCAATCACATATAGTAAATTTTTAAAATTTTCTTCCAAAATTATATATATACATATATGTATCTATCCATATATATATTTGTACTATATATTAAACAAAAGAGACTTTTCACGAAGAACCTTGTAAAAGACTACTACACTTCTAATTAAATTTGTGAATTTTTAATTAAAAAGTAATTTAAAAAACACTACTGACTAACCCACTAAACCAATAATTATGAAAATAGTAATGATTTCAAATTTATGTTTTTCTAGAAAGAAGATAAAATAATCTCCTTCCTGATTTATCCAAATCTGTTGTCTCTCATAAAATTCAAAAGGAAAAATTAAAAGATATCCAAAATACTAATTATAAATTTTCAAGTATTGATTTATCTACCACATTTAATTTAAAATCTATATATAAACAAAAATGTTGTTAAGTATTTGAGTTTTAAAGTGTCAATGTAATTTTTTTCAATTTTAAAAATACAAAAATACACATGTCATGAAATTATTGGACATTTAATCAATATGATAATATATTGGACATTTATTTAATCTTACCTCCTTTAAAACATTGTTAATTAGATCAATATGGTAGTATTATAATAAGAGATTTATTTATATATCCCATTTAGAGGATATATAACCCAATAAGGAGGTGTTTGTTTGGTAGGATTCACTCATGGGATATGACTCCATATTCGGAGTATAGAATAGTCTATTATTTGGTATAGAAATTTTAAACTTATTGGATTATTCTATCATAATGAGGGTATGGGACACAAAATGCAAGATAACTATTCCCATGGAATTAGATAGTAAAAAGACATTTTTGACCCTCTACTATTTAACATCTTTTTCCTCATTATTTTTCACATAATTCTGGGCATGCTGCTCACCTTCTGGCTAAGGAAGCAAAACAACTCTATTATGCATTTCTCTGGTCTTGTTATATAATTATGTTGTTCTATTCCTAAAAGAAAAAAACAAAACAAAACCAAACAAAAACAAAAGGATTAAGTTGTTGTATTTCTGGGATGGTGTTCCTACATTTGTTTATGTGTTCCAAGAATTGTGTTGTGCTATTTTAAAATAGTGGAAGTTAGTGTTGGGTTTGTTTTGACCTAATATTAAGGAGCTAAAAAAAATTCAAATTTGGTGCATTCATGGTATTAATTATACTTAGTAAAGTAAAATAAAATTTAAAAATCTCAATTAAAAATTAAAATAAATTTATGTAATTTTATTGATGTTCTATTTATTTAATTTTTTAAAAGTTCTAGTCAAAAAATAAAATAAAATTTACAATTCAAATTTAGTATTCCTATTATTTAGTAAACAATTCAAAAGGACAAAATAGTTTTTTTTGAGTATTTATCTTTCTTCTCAATATCTCAAACAAATATAAGATTAAAAAGAATAGTCATTTCCTGATATCTAATCTCAATTTTTTTTTTTGATCGGCACAAAAAAAACATTACATCAGAAAAGGAAACAGATGGGTGCAAAAGCATCGTAGCGAACATACCAATCCTAACTAGGTTGGTAGCAATATGACCGCTCAATCCCTTGCAAGCACACCATCACAGTTGGTGAGCAACCAACCAGAAGAAAAACAAAACAAAAAGTAACAGACAACACAAAGACCAGCATAGCAAAAGGTCACCAACAGCTAACATCCAGCAAAAGCCTTTGATTGCAAAGTCTCTACTACTTGAGCATCACCTGATGGAGAACTCTAATCTCATGACTAAACAAATATAAGATATACATCCTTTCCAATCAAATAATCAAGGGACTATGTATCCTATGATTAACGATTCGATGGATTACAATCCCCTTTTATCCAGTCTGTACAAACAAACATGACCTAAGTCCACAAAGTATTCTTGTGTTCCACCAAGTCTCATACTATTAAAAAAAAAAAAAAAAAAAAAACCACTAATCTTTGCACATCAAGTAGAGTAAATTATTTTTTATTTTTTATTTCCTAATTGTAAATTTGTTGGAAAATATAAAATGCATTTATTACAAAATTAATAAATATTCAATATTTCATACATTAATCTTTACCCATCAAGTATAGTAATTTTTTAAAAATTTTCTTCCAAAAATATATATATATATATCTTTCCATCTATATAATTGTAATATATAATAAACAAAAGAGACTTTTCGTAAAAAGCCTTACGAAAACTACAACCACTACAACAAAACTAACTATTTACGGTATCATGTTTATGGCGTGCATTAAATGCATGTCGTAGTTAGTATACGACATTTTTTTTTTTTGCAAGCCGTTATGTTTTTTTAATAACAACATACATGTCATGTAAGTCGTTAATTCATATATTTATGGTATGCAAAAGTATGCCGTAAAAAATGTATGTTCTTACGACTTATTACAATATGTCGTAAAATATTTGTACTTAAGACGACATGCATTTCATGTTGTAAAATATTATAACTTTACACAACATGCTAATGAATGGCATGAAAACTTGTACAAAAAAAAATAAAAAATAAATACAATCTGATTTTTTATGACATGCAAAAGTATGCCATAAAAAATATATATTTTCACTGTATACAAAAATATGTTATAAAATATTTACACTTAAGACAACATACATTTCATGTCGTAAAATATTAAATTTTATATGTTTTTGAATTTAGTGATATTTTTAGAAAATTAAAAAATATTTTTCCTTCTAAAGTATATGTAAATTATTTGAATTTAAAAAGTAAAAAAATATATATATTTAAAAACTTACGCTACACTCCCTTTCATTCTAGATCCATACTTGTTTTTGTCTCAAACCGTCTCATTCTCTAGAGAAATTATATTTTAATTATAAATAATAAAAAAAAAATTCTAGACATGCTTAAATATTTATAAATTTCTAGTAGATTTGACAATTTTTTATTTTTTTTCCAACAAACTAGATATTCTAGTTATAATCTAGATTTTTTTAATACAAAAATAATTTATAAACTTATACTTAAATCTTTTTTTGATCAACATGTGTAACGAACATACAACACAGTTCCCGACAGGCTGGACAAATATTGGATATCACTGCAAAAGTTAACTTCCAGAACAATGCATTGGGCTAGGATACCAAAATTTAGAATTCAGCATCAGCGACATGTACTGGAAGGCAACGAAGCGGAGCACAGCTACCAAACCAAGCACCACTCATCAACATAAAAAATGGTGACACCAGATTCAATAGCTATCAGCAAAAAGTGCAGCAACAACAGACCTACGAAGATATCGGCTATCACTTTACATCTACAAGTCACGATCTCAAGTGCTGTAACAATATGCAACTGTTATCAGCTTAAAACCATATCCGAAATGTATTGACACATGTTACAACATAGGTAATAAGCTAACAGCCAAATAGTAAATGTGGAGTCTAACCAAACACTAGAAAAAATAAAAATAAAAATAAAAATAACAAAAATAATAAGCAACTAAGTCTATCATCATGTCAAACCTCATCTAAGATTTGTCCAGCCCAGCAGAGCAGGTTCTATTAGAATCAGCACTACGGTATGTCCATCCCAGCATAGCACGTTCATATTAGACATCACAGCATATCAGGTTCATATTAGAATCAGCATTATGCTATGATCTGGTCCTGCAGTTTAACTGCATCGGCTACATGTTAAGGGATGTGAACTCCGACCCTTGTCACCACAGCTACTAAGACTCCTTCCCAGACCCAAAATTTAAATTCAGCAAAAATAAGGATGGTCAGGTCGTCAAAAGTCAGAATCCCAATGGGACTTTCAACAACATTCAAAGTTTTAACCCTTACCAATGATACATCATCAGAGTAAATTTGTTAAAACACGGTACTTGGCAACCAGCAAGAAATGATATCAACCAACCGCACAGTAAAAACAGCATCAACCAATAGCTGCTGCTACATCATCAGCTAGTCAGCCAGCTACATTCAATCTTCCCGGATACAATGTAGAAGGCCAGTATATGGTCCATCACAAGTAAATATAATCCAGTTATCTGAATTCACATTACCCAACATGCAAAAGAAATTAAATAGGATTTAGAAAAGAGTAATGCTAGAGACCCCGAATATTCTACCAAAAGTTTTACCAAATGTCTCACATGGGTGTGGGACTCACACAATGTGGGTCCCATGTGGGTCCCACATATTTGGTAAAACTTTTTGGTAGAATTTTTAGGGCCTCTAGCATTTTTGTTATTAGCAACCCTTTAGCTCACACTTTTATTTTCTTTTTGTATATGCATCCCTCTCTCCCTCTCTCCCTCTATTTCTCTTTCTTCTCCTGCTCTCTCCTTTCTCTCCATCGACATCTCACACAAACACATGAGCACCACCAGCGACAACTACCAGCCACTGCCAATCGATTGATTCCGAGCTTGGCATTTGAGTCTAATTCCGAGCCTTAGATTAATTCGGCGAGAGCCTTGGATTGCATCCCTTATTCGATTAATTCAGTTTCTCCTCTCTCATGTCTCTTTGACTTTGATTTGATTTCTAGAGTTTTGATTTTGATTTGATTTCTTTCAATTAAGCTAAATTTTTCTCCCTTGCAGTTTCATTTCAACTTTATGATCTCAAGCAGCAAGGATTATGAGGTATTTTGAATTGTGTTGTGTTTATGGCTCTTCAATGAAAATTTCTATTAATTTGGTTATGTAACATGTTTTGATGGTTTGAATGTCTCTGTTCTTACAGAAATTGTTTCCAATTGCTAATTGAATTTTGCTTTGTTCTGAATTTTGATGGAGATATTAGTTGTTTAGTTAGTATTATTAAATTTAACTGCTATGCTTGACGACTGATTCACTGTATGCTGTATTACTTGTACGACTATGTAATATTGAAGTTCACATTATTTCATGGGTTTTAAGAATCCTATGAGCCCTTGCCTGTGCTTGAAGATCAACCTGATAGGACACCACAGAAAATATATATATATATTTAGAATCAATAAGCTATAGTTTGAATGCAATTGACCATTAAGCAGTCTAGACTTGGTGCTCATCTTCATCATTGGTAAGTTGGGTCTCTCAAAGTAAATAGGAAGTAGGCAAAACCTATGACTAAACCAGTGGTGGCGGTGAAAAATGCAATTGGCTCCATAACATCTCATGAGAATTCCCAGAATGTAAGACAAAAGAAGAGCCCGACCTGCATGATAGCCAACCCTAGCCCTGACCAGAGGATGCGCCGGACCTGCTTATGTGCCCGCATGTCGATTTCTTCCTTCTTCTCCTGGAGCTTCTTTAGCTCATCCCTCCTGGGGTCATCTTCAGGTGTCAGGGCAAGGGGCACTGCTCTTCTAACCAAATCCACCACCTGAATACATAGAAGTAAATGGAACAACAAAAATCAATTTAAGTAATAATATCAAATATGTAAGGCTTCTAAACAGAAAGGACCGTGGCTGTAAGAGTTGTGTGATTCATGATGATTAGATTCATACGTTTTGATACGAGTTTCAACCAAAAAGATGTTTCACCCCTCTATCAAGAAATAAAGAGATCAATTAATTATATTAATGAACATAATTATATATACATGTATATATAATTTAGTTATATTGATATTCATTTTATTTTAAACATTGTGTGTATTTTTATATGTATATATACATGTATGAGAATATATTATTTTTTCATAAATTATATTACATTATATTAAACAAAGTGCTCTTATGATTCATGATTCACTATTGTAGCATAACAATTCACGGTTCGGTTCGCTATTTGACAATAATGGAAATGACAGATAGATTGGGAGAAAAAAAAACTGCTAAGACTCACTAAAATTTAAATTCATATTGTGTCAACAACTCAAGCCAATTTATCCCAGTTGGATAGCCGATACAAATCTAATCAACAGATCTACGGCATTCAAGTAGGCTAAATAGAGAAAGAAACACACCATCCACGGGTCAAATGTTTCATTTCAACAGTCTAAGAGGTACACTTGCAGAAATAAAAATCACCATATGGAGAGAATAATCGTAGAAATAATAAACCTCTAAGAAGGAAGGTATAAATAAAATTGGGTAAGTTACACTTTATTCTTTTTATGTTTAATTATTTTTTTATTTTGATTCTTTTTTTTTTTTTTTCAATTTGGCCCTTGATGTTTCATTTTTTTTAGTTTACTTCTAAAATTAATTTTTGTTCAAAATTAGACAGAAAACGCCATAATAACTGTCACATAACATAAAAAAATATTATTATATTGAAATTTAAGTTTATGTTAGAGATGCAAGTTATATATAATAAAAAAAAAAATATCTCACATGATTGATAATGTGTCATTTTTTGTCTGTAACTTACCAAACTTGACCTAAAT